GCTTACGGTGAACCCCAGTGTCTGTGCCGGAAGACGCCGGTCCTGGGATGGAGCCCGTCTTCTTTTCTCTTAAGGACGTTTGCACTCAACACCAGGTCTGTGCCCTGCATGCTCCGTGCTCCCTGGTCACAGGACATGAAGCTCAGAGTCTGTTTAAGGTCGGGGGGCGGGCGGTGTGTGTGTACAACTTGGGGGCGTGATCACAGCTGTTACATATCTGCACACACTACATATCTGATCTGATAGTCTCTAACAGAGGTCCTTTTTCTAGAAAATGGGCCGCACAGTTGGGTGAGGATGGTACTTACTTCCAGAGGCCCCTCTCCATGGACAGGACTGCGGGGCCGGGGCAGTGGGGAGGCGTCCGTGGAGGAGCGCCGTCCACGCCCCGAGCCGACCCCACCGACCGAGACGCCCTGGCTGCCTGCTCGGGCCTGCGCTCACCGGTGAACTCGACTTCGCCCTGGACCCCGAGCCTGAGTTGTTTTGTTTTCTCAGGGGAAGTCTCTCAGGGCAACAGTTCTCCTAAGAAGCCAGACCAAGTTCCTGGCTCCCTCGAGGTGGGATGTCCGGACGCTCCTTCCGCCTCTGGGAGCACACATCCAGCAGCTGCTGGGGCAGCGAGAGCCGGGGAAGTGGACCCAGAACTGCACCCCAGAGGGAGAGCGGGCGAAGAGCGCTTGCATGGGCCCGGGCACCGCTACTGAGTCCCCCGAATCCTAAACCTCGCCCCCCCCGAGCAGGGGGCCTGGGGGCTGGCGGGGGGGTCCAGGGACACCGGACATTCAGCCCATCTCTCCCCATCAGGAGCGCGATTAAATCAAAACCGGAAGGAATCCAAGGAAACCCACTTCTCTGCCACAGAAAACTCGCATCCTGGGAGCGCTGTCGGCTGTGACGCTGCCCTGGGGCCCGGGCGGGGGCCGAACCCGCGGCACAAGGATGCTGCGGGCCTGGTTCTGAGGCTCAGTGTTCCCAGGGACCTCAGGGTCTGCGGGTGCCAGGGCTCGGCCCGCAGGGGCGGCACCACTTGCCCAGCGGCCGCTCCTGGGTCTTAGAACCATCGCCTCCCGGTGCAGCTCTGTCCACGGTCAGGGCGTCAGGGCCCTGCTTCTTCTGAAGGGGCCACTGAAACGGCCCCGGGCCCTTTAAGCAAGACAACAGCGTGGACACCTTGGACTTGAAGCTGCCTGCCGCGTGTTTTGCTGGCCTCCTTCTCAATCTTTCTTCAGCTTTCAAAGTGAACTCGTGCTGAGCGAGCTCCGTCTTGCCGTCTGCCCCCGGCTTAGCAGGATGTCCCGACACCACCTGCGCGGCGGGTCCCCGCACTGGCCGTGGCAGCGCCTCTCACCCTCCGAGCACCCAGGGCGCACGACCCTGCGGACTTGGGCCCTGGAATAACCTCCCTCGTGTCTTCTTTCCTTGGCATGTGTGTGAACCTTGTCCACCCTCTGAGGACCTCCTGTGACTCGGGCTTTTTTTTATAAACCCAAAGGTTACCTTAGTACAACAGTGCAGTTGTAAGTATATAGGGGATGCATCTTAAACCTTTGCAAAGCAATGTCTAATGAAGTGTCCCCTTGTGGGTGAGATGGTTTTAGGGGCAGTGAGGGAGCAAAACAGTCCGCTGATTACAAATGCCCATGGCCCGCACATCACAGGACCGCAGCTGCTATGAGCAAAAGGCCCTCAGATTCCATTTATTACAACATCCTCAACATATCTGATAGCTTTATAAACACATAGAATTCACTTCTGGGGTCCTGAGATACACAGACTTGTTTAAAAATGGGGACTAAAAATATAAAACTACCTTTAAACACTCTATTTGGAGCATTTGTCCTTCTGGGGGTATAAAACAAAGAAAATCATTAATTTTAAAGTATGAGCACAGAACATGTATTTGCAGAGTTGACGGCTATAATCAAATAAAATTTTTAACAAAACATCAATCAGTCTAGATATAAATTATTTGAAAGTCACACGGTTAATTATTCAGTTCAGTCGCTCAGTTGTGTCTGATTCTTTGTGACCCCATGGGCTGCAGCACGCCAGTTCCTTGTCCATCACCAACTCCTGGAGTTTGCTCAGACTCAAGTCCATTGAGTCAGTGATGCCATCCAACCATCTCATCTTCTGTCATCCCCTTCTCCTCCCACCTTCAATCCTTCCCAGCATCAGGGTCTTTTCAAATTAGTCAGTTCTTTGCATCAGGTGGCCAAAGTATTGGAGTTTCAACTTCAGCATCAGTCCTTCCAATGAATATTCAGGACTGATTTCCTTTAGGATGGATTGGTTGGATCTCCTTGTGGTCCAAGGGACTCTCAAGAGTCTTCTCCAACACCACAGTTTAAAAGTATCAATTTTTCTGTGCTGAGCTTTCTTTATACGCCCTGACCAGTAATGCTGAAGAAGTTGAAGTTGAACGGTTCTATGAAGACCTACAAGATCTTCTAGGACTAACACCCCAAAAAGATGTCCTTTTCATTACAGGGGAATAGAATGCAAAAGTAAAAAGTCAAGAAATACCTGGAGTAACAGGCAAATTTGGCTTTGGAGTACAGAATGAAGCAGGGCAAAGGTTAATAGAGTTTTGCCAAGAGAACGCACTCGTCATAGCAAACACCCTCTTCCAACAACACAAGAGAAGACTCTACACATGGACATCACCACATAATTGATTATTATCAGTATTATTTTTTTCACAGCCAAAACACGTTTACCTCAGTTCCCCTTTTTAAGATAATCTTGCTGTATTTATATACAACTCAAGGTTGACTGTTTTCCTGATATTATGTCCATTAGAATCTTCGCTCTCGGACAGATTCTGACCTTACATCTCACCCCAGAAGACAGATGCCTGCACTTGCTGCCCAGCACCAGGCCCTGACGCACCCCGTGTCCCCATCCAGAAATCTCTTCCCTGCCCTGGAGTCGGGGAGATGAAACGAGAGTGGGGAGTGCAGAGGGACCCTCAGGGCTGGGTTGGGACCTAGAGAGACGGGCCAAAGACCCCCGAAGGAGGCCACTGTGGCTGGAGAGTTGAGGCCAGCATCTGAGATGCAGACGGTCAGAGTGAGGAACCCCAGGGCACATGAGTGCCCTGCTGGACATGCACCTGCCTCCCGTCAGGGCCGGGTCAGAGCTCTACACTCGGAGGTCCTTCCACCTGGATGGGGGCTCGGTCTTCTCCCCATTCACTGCCATCCTTCCCTCGACAAACTGCACACAATGAGAGGAACGTGGCGCTTTTAGAGCCGGCTTATCCAGGATGGCTAAAGACATGCACGTAGGTGAGATCCAGATTCAAGGGCGGACATCTTCCCCTCAAAAGCCAAAGCCAGAAGAAGCCTCTCCCCGCCGGGAGAGCTAGGACATCATTGCTCTCCCTGATGCCCAAGAAAAGGGGGCTCTGGGGAACTGGGGTCCCCTGGGCCCTGGATGCAGAAGCCCCCCGGGCGGGACCTGCCCTGGACGGGGTGTTTCTGGGGCACTGGTGTGACCCCTAATCTGTGTCATGTGTCCTAGTCTGGAACACCCCTTGGGTGACAAGTCAAGACTTGGGACATTAACATTGAATGTTAACCTATGAATCTTCTTTCAGAAGAAATTCAACAAAAGCCACAGACAGGTAACCAGGAAAAAAACAAAAAGTAAAACAGACAATCAGACCCGGGCACTTGGATTCTAAACTTTATTCTTGGGCATTCTGCACCAGACTTGCGAGCGGAGCCGCCGCCCCGGGCTGGCTCCCCAAGGCCGGCCTTGCCCACAGTGACTCTGACCCCAGTTCAGTTACGCAAAAGTTGGATTTAGACACGAATCACCTTTCAAGTATTAACTGACTCTGCAAACCTTCCGGCCTCTAAATCTGTCTATTTTTCAGCAGTTAGACCTGCTAGCGTGCCAGTAAAGAGGTTTCTATTAAAGAAAAAAAGTCCCTAATAGGAATGCAGAACGCCAGCGGATGCCTATTTTTATTGCCTCTTGACATTTTATTTTCTTGTAAACAACCAGTGGTGTGTCAGGCATTTAAAATGTCCTTTTTGAAAACAGGAACAGAAAGGAAGAAAGAAAAGGGAAAATAGAAATAAACCACGCAAGCGGACAGAGCGCCGTCGGCCAACAGGTTATTTCCCAGCTTTGTCTGATGTGGAGCCAGGCAGGTGGGCCTGTAGTTCCGTTAAAACCTGTGTTCACATTTCTCTGTGGACCGATCACCCAAGATAACCTTGCATCAGTTACAGGAAAACAAAAACAGCTCTCACTAGTGAACCCTGGAGGCTGCTCAGGAATCCGGGCCTTGCCATGTGCTGGCCCCGAGGCGGTGGGAAGCGGACGGAGTCTGCTCCGCGGGTGCTGAGCGTAAATCCTGTCATCACGGGCGGGCTGGGCGGGCTGGGCCCCAGACATGCGGGCCACCCCTGGCTGCGGCTCGCACAGCCACCCCCTGGGCAGGTCCCCTTGGCGGCGCGTCCCCCGACTGGAAACAGCGCAGCTATGTCTCGGGGTCGGTTCCTGAGCAGCCCATAAATAACAGCTCCCAGAAGCGCGTTTTTCTATTTGCAGTCACCCCTCCTTGGCCTCCCCAACCCCTCAAGTGATAAATCTGGCCCTGGAGATCAACAGCATCCTTGTTGGGATGCTGCAGTCTGGAGGGAAGGAGCCGCGTGTCACAGGAGACAGGCTGTAAATACTGCATCGTTCACCTCAGTTTAGTGACGCCAGGCGGGGCTGCGTGGCCCACGGCCACGGGCGCTCCGTGCCACCTACATCAGTGGGCTCTTTGTCACCGGCCAGGGGCGGGGTGGGGAGGGAGCTGCCTTGTCACCTGAAACAAGAGCCGTGGACCACGACTACCGTCCCCAAAAGGCCTCAACCCCACCAGGATGAGCCATGAGTCCAGGCCGGGAGCTGACTCCAGAAATAATGCCAGCCCCAGGGCGCAAATATTCACCCCAGAGGCATGTGTCACTGAGGCCGGCCTCGGAGGGGCCGCCATGGGCTCCTCCACATCGCAGGGCACTGGGGTCCCCCACCGTGAGGACACAGCAGGCAGGGTGATGGGGCAGAACGGCCACTCTCCTCTCTGGACGCCCCAACTGTCCCAGGAGGGAGACTTTCACCCCCTTTGAAAGAGTAAGACATGCACAGGCTCAGAAAAAGTGAACTGCTTCCCAGGTCCCTGCAAGAAAGAGAAGAACGTGTGGCCAGCTCTCAGGAATCTAAGCCGCTGGTCCCTGGGCGGTGCTTTCCTGCTGACCCGGATCAAAGGGCTCCAGGTGGGGAAGACCAGGGCGGGGCCAGCGGGCGGCCTCAGTAGGCTCCAGGGCCAAGTCGCTCCCCAGAGCAGAGCCAGAACCCGGGGGGCCCTCCACCCTCGGCCGGAGCCGCGGTCCTGAGACCGTCAGCCCTGCCGCTCCGGCCCCGGGGCCATCCTCACCGAGGAGGAAGCCGAAGCAGGCAGAGGGGGGCGAAGGGCCTCTGGGTCCCGATCCAGGAAAAGCGGACGAGCAACCACCCGCCCCCACGAATAAGGGAGGAAGCGTGCTGGCTGCTCTAGTAGCCGAGGGCCCGGACGGGCGCGCGCGGCGTCGGGGCGCGGCTGGACCACCAGGGGGCGCTGTCCCGCCTCGGGGGCGACGCCGCGCGTCTAGTTCCGCCCCGCTGCCCGCGGGCGCGCCGGGGCCTCCGCGGGCGCGCCGGGGCCTCCGCGGGCGCGCCGGGGCCTTCGAGGGCGCGCCGGGGCCTCCGCGGGCGCGCCGGGGCCTTCGAGGGCGCGCCGGGGCCTTCGCGGGCGCGCCGGGGCCTCCGCGGGCGCGCCGGGGCCTTCGAGGGCGCGCTGGGCCTTCGCGGGCGCGCCGGGGCCTCCGCGGGCGCGCCGGGGCCTCCGCGGGCGCGCCGGGGCCTTCGAGGGCGCGCTGGGCCTCCGCGGGCGCGCCGGGGCCTTCGAGGGCGCGCTGGGCCTTCGAGGGCGCGCCGGGGCCTCCGCGGGCGCGCCGGGGCCTTCGAGGGCGCGCCGGGGCCTTCGCGGGCGCGCCGGGGCCTCCGCGGGCGCGCCGGGGCCTTCGAGGGCGCGCTGGGCCTTCGCGGGCGCGCCGGGGCCTCCGCGGGCGCGCTGGGCCTCCGCGGGCGCGCCGGGGCCTCCGCGGGCGCGCCGGGGCCTTCGCGGGCGCGCCGGGGCCTCCGCGGGCGCGCCGGGGCCTCCGCGGGCCCTGGGCACCGCTCGCAGGGGCCGGCGACCTCAGGCCCCCCCAGCTCACCCCCGGCGCCTACGGAAACACCCCATCAGCGCGCAGGTACGTGAACGCCCCCAGCGGGGTTCAGGTTTTCACACGCTGATTTATGCAGCCCTCTTCAAGAAAAACAGCCCCGAAGGACAAATGGAAAATTAGTTACGAAGGTGAACATTAACACACAGTGTGAAAAGCGCAAATTGCGCGTTTAAAAAGTCTGACAAATACTTCAAGCGCAGCAAAACCCATGTAGAATTGTTGCTGCTAAGATGCTAAGTCACTTCAGTCGTGTCCGACTCTGTGCGACCCCATCGACGGCAGCCCACCAGACCCCCCGTCCCCGGGATTCTCCAGGCAAGAACACTGGAGTGGGTTGCCATTTCCTTCTCCAAAATAATACGTGTCAATTACTACCTAGCTAATGTACAACAACCATGGGGTTGCAAAGAGTCAGACACGACTGAGCGACTGAACTGAACTGAACCAAATATAGAACAAATTTCTCCCAATGTTCCACATACTATTTAACCACCTTTCACATGCCAATGAGTATTTCTCTGTTTTAATGTCATTTCCCCTAGAAAGAACAGAGAGAAAACTCAGTCGGCATAGCTGCACGCAGTTTATAGTTTTGTTGTAGTTTAATTCATGATCATGGAACCTGAGACTCCGTGGAGGAGACCCTCGCTTTGAACGACTGTGCTCCCAGTGTACACCCTGCTGACCCTGGGGCTGTGGTGAGCTCTGTTTCGCACATTATAAATATATATATATATATATTTTTTTTCTATGTATATGCTATGGGTTTATCATTGCCTTCTTCACAAAATATTCTCATCTTAAGAGATCTTCTGCTTGGACTGGGGTTGACTGGAGCTGCTAACAACTGAAGAATCAGTCCCTTGAAGCCTCACTCCTTCCCGAGCCCAGACCCAGAGGACAGGCCCACGCTGGCCCTTGGCGTCACGGCCAGTGGACAGGGACAGTGGTTGGCAAAGGCTCTGGAGGTTGTTTCCACACTGGGAAGCCCAGCGGTCACTGAACTGTCTGCAGAAGTGACAGCAAACCACAGACTGTGCCCGCAGGCCCCAGACTAAAGCAGCGCTCTCCCCTCCTGTGACGGAGTCCTCAGACGCCCTGGGCTCTCCACGTGCCGCCTGACAGAGGGGCGAAGGCAGAGACCGCAGCCTGGCCTGCTCCCAACTCTCCAAACACTCAGCACAGAACAGGCCTGGAGATGGGCCGCCTGACAGAGGGGCGAAGGCGGAGACCGCAGCCTGGCCTGCTCTGAATGCTCCAAACACACATGACAGAAGGGGCATAGCCTCCCCCGGCGAGGGCCTGGAGACCCCCAGCTCTGCCGTCACCCGCTGAGCATGTGCCAGAGACCTTCAAGTCAGAGGGTCGCGGACGCTCTCTCGGTTTGAAGGGGCGCATGCACAAGCGATCTGGCCTAACCCTCCCCTCCCTGAACCACCTCAGAGCCGCTGCCTCCGTTGGCTCACTTTTACCCCAAGTATAAAGGCATTTTCTTCTCTGGGAGCTAATTGGAAACTTATTCGAAATCAATTTCACATGTGCTTCCCGAAGTTTCAAGTCAAGTGTTAACGGGAGGCACTGGGGCTGACCTTTAAACCAGTTCAAGGGCGCCCGTGCCCGTGAAGCCCAGTAAATCTAATGAATCCGGCGTGTGACCAGGGCTCGCAGCGCCTGCCCGCAGAGCGAGGGTCTGGGGCAGCGAGCCGGGCGGGAGATGTGGGCCCTGCCCCGCTGGGCAGGCTGCAGGCCCTGGTGGTGTCGGCCTCCGCCTGCCTGCACGGCTTCTCACCGCAGCCTCATGGTCTGGGTCTTCAGGGGCCTAAGAACGAAAAGGGTCAGACAAAGCAAGCAGGAGCCGCGGGAACTGGGTTAGGAACACGCCGCCCCTTCTCCACTGCGCCCTGCTGAGATCCACATGCGGCGTTCAGAGAGCTTGCGGTTTATGTTTGGGGGAAATTGCATTTTCCTGGGAGAGTGAGGTGCGCGCGTGCATGCCCACACATGTGTACACACACGCACACACGTGTACATGCACAGACAACCCAGGACAGAACGCTGCTCCAAAGCTGGAGGTCGCTGAAGTCGGAGCCCAGACACCACACATCCTGAGGTGGTGGTTGCTCAGTCACTCAGTCGCATCTGACTCTGAGACCCCATGGCCTGCAGCATGCCAGGCCTCCCTGTCCTTCACCATCTCCCCAAGTTTGCTCAAACTCATGTCCGTTGACATGAAAACAGTGAGAGACTTTATTATGGGGGGCTCCCAAATCACTGCAGATGGTGACTACAGCCATGAAATTAAAAGACACTTGCTCTTTGGAAGAAAAGCTATGACCAGCCTAGAGAGCATATTAAAAAGCAGAGACATTGCTTTCCCAACGAAGGTCCGTCTAGTCAAGGCTATGGTTTTTCCAGTAGTCATGTATGGATGTGAAAGTTGGACTATAAAGAAAACTGAGCACCGAAGAATTGATACTTTGTTGGAGAAGACTCTTGAGAGTCCCTTGGACTGCAAGGAGATCCAACCAGTCCATCCTAAAGGAAATCAGTCCTGAATATTCATTGGAGGGATTGATGCTGAAGCTGAAACTCCAATACTTTGGCCACCTGATGCGAAGAACTGACTCATTTGAAAAGACCCTGATGCTGAGAAAGATTGAAGGCAGGAGGAGAAGGGGATAACAGAGGGTGAGATGGTTGGATCACATCACTGACTCAATGGACATGAGTTTGAGCGAGCTCTGGGATTTGGTGATGGACAGGGAGGCCTGGCGTGCTGCAGTCCATGGGGTTGCAAAGAGTTGGACATGACTGAGCGACTGAACTGAACTGAATGTCCACTGAGTCGGTGATGCCATCCAACCATCTCATCCTCTGTCGTCCCCTTCTCCTCCTGCCCTCAATCTTTCCCAGCATCAGGGTATTTTCCAGTAAGTCGGTTCTTCCCATCGGGGGCCAAAGCATTGGAGCTTCAGCTTTAGCATCAGTCCTTCCAATGAATATTCAGGACTGATTCCCTTTAGGATGGACTGATTGGATCTCTTTGTGCCCAAGGGACTCTGAAGGATCTTCTCCAGCACCACAGTTCAAAAGCATCGATTCTTTGATACTCAGCCTTCTTTATGGTCCAACTCTCACATCTGTACATGACCACTGGAAAAGCCATAAGTTTGACTATACAGACCTCTGTCAACAAAGCAATGTCTCTGCTTTTTAATATGCTGTCTAGGTTTGTCATAGCTGTCCTTCCAAGGAGCAAGCATCTTTTAATTTCATGGCTGCAGTTACCATCTGCAGTGATTTTGGAGCCCAGGAAAATAAAATCTGTCACTGTTTCCATTGTTTCTCCATCTATTTGCATGAGGTGAGGGGATTGGATGCCATGATCTTAGGTTTTTTAAATATTGAGTTTTAAGCCAGCTTTTTCACTCTCCTCTTTCACTTTCATCAAGAGGTTCTTTAGTTTCTCTTCACTTTCTGCCATAAGGGTGCTGTCATCTGCATGTATGAGGTTATTGATATTTCTTCCAGCAGTCCTGATTCCAGCTTGTGCTTCATCCAGTCTGGCATTTTGCATGATGTACTCTGCATGTAAGTTAAATAAGCAGGGTGACAATATACAGCCTTGGTGTTCCTTTCCCTGTTAGTCCCAGGAGAAACACAGTGTGAGCCTGAACCAGTGCGTCCATGCGATGCGCTTGCTGAGCGCCCGCTGTATGCACACCACCATGACCCTTTGTGGAAAGGACACGTGGAAGGCAGAAAACTCTGGTCTTTCCAGGAGGAAGGAGGTTAAGACGAGGTGATTTGTAAACACAAAAGTGAGCCCGAGAAACAGAAAACAGCCAAGACAACTCATCACAAAGTTCAGACAACTAGTCCATGCAGGGGCAGTGGGAGTCTAGAGACCAAAATGAAAGTGTGTCGAGAAGGAACATCTGTGGACACAACAGGACGCAGGCTGCGAGCTTGACTCTTTCTGTCGGGGCCCTGGGGGTCCACAGTGAGCCCAGGGCCCCACAGCTCGGCTCGATTTCATCCTCTGCATTCATCGTCCCATGCTCCGCCCCATCCCACCCGGGTCTGTTTCATAAAAACAATAAAATTATAATTATGACAGTGCCAACACTTTCACTGCTAGATGTTGTACTGAGTGTTTTATATGTACTTATTCATTCAATCCTCGCCAGAACGATGCCTCTATAAGGGAGTAATATTACAGAAAAGGAAACCCAGGCACAAAATGATGAGTGACCTTGCCCAAGGTCACAGGGCTCCAGCAAGGTAGAAATGAGAGGGTCAACCGGCCGTGGCCCTCGAGTGTCTATACCGAGCTCTCAGAGGCGCACCATGGAGGATGGGGCACCGGGGGTTTTCAGAAAACCGCTCGTGTATGATTTCAACCAAATGGAGATGGTTCAACCGCCCTGGCGAAAGGGCGGGTCCAAGGGGGAGGCTGGGGGATGTCATAGGATGTGAGGAGCATCCTTCGGCCCACGCGAAACCGCAAGTCCTCGTGCAGCTTTCTGATCGCCTTGTCCCCTGGAGGTCAGAGCCCAGGCTGGCGGAGGCCGCTTCGGGGGGTCATACAGGACTATCACCCTGCAAGCGATGAGTCCGAGGTCTGGCTCAGTTTTAGAATTTTAGTGCCCAGAGGATAGGAAACAGATGCTAGGATAAGGCATTTGGTTAAATTTAATTTAGTTATTGGCTTGAGTACGACTTTCCTTTGCTCCAGAGTTTACATCATATCTAAATATATCTAACTCCTGCAGATGTAGGTGACCAAAGAAATGTGCTTACAGCTTTCACTTACCCCAGCCATTAATAACGGACAGACACCAACTCGAGGCAGCAATTTGAAATGCTTAAGTTTTCCACTTATTACAGACTGAACTTTGTACTTGCCAAGTTGAAACTGGCATTTGTGAGATACCACAGGACAATTTGCTCTCTTCAGATGCAGTTTAAGCAGTTTTTTAAAAAACTTCTCTGATCAGCTGAGTGATTCGTGAAGCACCTCTGGCCAATTGGTTGGGTTTTCCAGCAGTCGCCACCTGGAAGCATCTCTGCCGTGCATTTTTGTTGCTTTATTGCCCTGGGTTAAAATACATGTTTTAAGGAAGGTGAGTCTTTTTCATGTTTACCATTTTTAAAAAAATGTTCATGATGCATGTTGAGAAACAGGACCAGCTCTGTGGTTCCTGGATGATCAATTAGTGACGGGTTAACCCTGCAAAATAAGCCTGAGTAGCCGCCGTCTCCAGAAGCACGTGGGCCGGTGCCCCTCAGGACTTAACTCTGCAGGGAGGCGGCCCTAGAAGATTCTGGGTGTCTGCACTGGACAAACACCACAGGCCAGGCAGCTTAGACAGCAGACACTTGTTCGCTGGCAGACGAGCCTGGACGTCTGGGATCCAGCCTCCTGCTGTGGGCAGGGCCGGCTCCCCCTGCACCCTTCTGGGCATGCAGACTGCCGTCTGCTCCCGTGTCCTCATGTGGGCATCCCTCTGTGAGTGCCTGTGGCCTGATCTCCTCTTCCTAGAGGGACAGCAGCCACGTGGGATCAAGACACCCCTCCAGTGATGTCATTTTATGTCATCCATTTTCAAAGGCCCAGCTCCAAACGGCCCCAGGGGTAGGGGGTCAGGCTCCAACTTAGGAACCTGGGAGCCAGTTCAGCCCCTGAGAGTAAGTCTCTAAACAGCCCTTCTTCTGTCCCCGGCGGGACACACGGGGTCGCTCCCTCGCTGCTCTGCCTCGGGAAGCCGGCGAGGTACCTGAGGGTGAAGCCGGGGGTCTGTGTGGCCCCCTCGGGGGTCCTCGCTCAGCCTCCAGGGACCCGTGGGAATCAGCACTGCTCCCTGCCAGCCTGGGCCCAGGCTCTCCCCATCCAGGGTGGACCTGGCGGCCCCTCTGTTGCCCGGCTCTGGGGGGTGGCTCCCCGCAGCCTCGCTGCCCTGACACGGTGGGGAAGCCACTGGCTCTGTTTGCTCAGCTTCATCGTGAGGAGGGGGGGCTCCCCAGCTCCTCACCTGCCATCCCTGAGTGGGGATGCTAGGACATCCCAAACCACCCTCTCCTCGTCTGCTCCCTCCTACCCGCCAGCCCCTGAGACCCTCAACGTCTCTCCTGAGACCTCTCCTTGGTCAAAAACATGCAGAGAACAGGCCTGTCCCTAACGGACACCATCCAAGCTGGCCCTCAAGTCCTGCCATCTGAGCCTCGGAGACGGGTGACCGCCCCCGCCTGATGTGGAAAGCCGCTTCTCTCTGCATCTGGGAAGCTTTCAGGGGAAGGATAGGAAAGGTGGGGAGATCGGCCTCTCTGTCTCTCTGTCTTTGTCTCTCTCTCTGTCTCTCTATATCTCTCTGTCCATCTGTCTCTCTCTGTCCCTCTGTATCTCTCTCTGTCTCTCTCTCTCTGTCTCTCTGTTCTCTTCCCAAACCCGGCGCACATGATTCTCTCCCTGTTTACAACCCCTCACCGGTCCACATTTGCGTCCTGAAGCCCTCCTTCCTCCAGCTCCGCACACGCTGCCCTCCAGGCTGCACTGGAATCTGAATCCGTTAGCATCTCTGGGCGCAGGAGATCAGAGACGGCTGGAGGGGGAGGACTTCATGAACCTTGGAGCTGACTCGGCATCAGCCATGGACTCGTGAGTGAACCTATCCACAAGGTCGCTGGGGACGCTCACTACCTGCCTCCTCAGAGCAGCCCCTCCCATCCCATCCTGCCATCCCGGGCTCCCTGGGGAGCCGCCCGTGTGTCCACGCGTGTGGCCTGTGGCAGGCAGGTGTCTGCCCCCGCTGGGGGCTGGGGAGAGTGGCAACCACCTCTTCTTGGCACCACCCGCATGACCCCCTCACGGCACAATCAAGAGCTGGCCCAGAGCCAATCCTGGCACGTCGCATCCCTAGAGCCCTGCCAGGGCTGGGATGGGCTTGCAGCCCCAGGGCAGGGCCCGTCGGCACAGCACGCGGGCCGGGATATGGTGGCGGCAGGCCACAGTCTGGTCAGAACGTCAGAGCCTCTGGGGACTCGGACGCCACCCCAGACCCTCACCCAAGCCCCCGCCTTGGGTGGGCCGCCCTGCCGCCGGGACACAGCCTCACTGAAGGCTCCCGGCGCTTCAAGTCCCCTGAGAGATGGAACTTTCCCCTAACAAATCCCTCTAGCCTCTCTACCTGAATTGTACACGCTTTAGAGCCCAAGAGAGAAACATTTTTAGTGGAGTCCCCTCACTTTCCAAATGGGGAAGCTGAGGCCTGGGGAGGTTAAAAGACCTTCCCAAGGACTGCATTGGGTCTCCAGGGAGCTGGAGCCAGCCGCCCTGACTCACTCCACCCCCGGAACCCCCTCTGCCATGCTGGGGACCCCCCAGGGTCTGCAATGGAGGCTGCATGGGGAAGGCATCCCTCCCTGGCAGATGCCGTGCAGGCCCGAGCCGGGGCCTGGGTGGAGCGGGAGCTTTCTCAGGACCACAGAGCAGGGCCCAGATTTTAAGCTGTATATATTTTATTTTATTTATTTAAGCTGCATATATTTTAATTCACAATTCATCACAGCCCAACCATGTGCATTATAAGAAAAATGAAAGGTAACAAAATAGGCATATTTGAAAATGTAAGCCCAATTTTTGAGCCCCACATTCAACAGAGCACCCAGTTTGGGGGACCAACTGCTGAACGTTGCCCTGGGCCCCTCGTCTCCCTGCTGCCCGGCCCTGGAGCCCCTGCCAGAGAAGCAGGTGTGGTTCCCGGTGACAGATCCTCTAAAAGCACATCCCCATTTTTCTCACCTGCCACCTGGGGGAAATCATCCCCAAGTGCTCACAAGCATTTCCTTGCCTGGGTGGGACTGTGTCTAAGAAGGGGCAGAAGCGTTTCAGCTCTCAGCTGCTCTGGGCCCGATGCTGCGTCTCTGTCCCTCTCTGAATGCAGGGACTTCCTTCCTGATGAAGACATGTGTGCTGGGCATCCTCTGGTAATGCTGGGCTGGCTGCTAACTGTAGCCCCAGGCACGCTCCGCGTGAGGTGTGGCGGGGAGCGGAAACCAGCACACCAGCCACGTGTGGGGAGCACACAGCTATGGGGGGAGGGAGACAGGGCCTGCTCGGCCCCTGTCCTCCCACTCAGGATGGGGGTCCCCGCCTCGGATCAGCGGGTGCGGTGTGAGGGGACAGGACCACACGGCCTTGGGGCAGATGGACAGAACTGGCCGAGATGTCCCAAAACCTGGAATGGTCGGAAAAGGCCCCTCACACGTGCTGGTGAGAAGAACCGGCCTGACACTCGGGACAGAGCAGATGTGCAAGCAGGTATCACGGAGCAGAAAGCATCCTCGGTTCCTCCATCCCTAACTGCCTCTGCCCGTGGCCCCCCGGTTACATCCTGGCGGCCAAGGATGCCCCTGGGATGCAGACACGTCTCTGGCTCAGTGATCTCACTTACCATCATGACCCGGGTTGCTCATCAACCTCTGGGAAGTGGCGAGAAAAACAGAGTCTTCCTATGAGGCTTGTCAGGAGGATGAAGTAGGAAAAGACACGGGTGGTATGTGGCCTGAGTGCCGGAGGAATCACACGCTCAGACGTGAGCTCGACCCACGACCTGTGCTGGGCAGCGAGGCCCACACGCCTAAGCTGACCCCAGGAGTGAGTCAGGCCGGTTCACTCACGAGCCCTCTGGGCAAGGCCACGGTCCAGATACTTGGTCTAGAGGTCTCTGAGACGGCTTGTGTAGATGACCCACATCCTGCAGTAAATAGATGACCCTCCATGGTGTGGGGGGCTGCACCCAATCCGTTGAAAACCTTACAAGAATAGACCGAGGCTCCCAAGGAGGTGGAAGAGCCTCTTCCGCTGGGGCCTTGGGAACCAAGCTGCAGAGCCAGCCCTGGACGCGGCTCCAATCAGCCCATAGACGTCACCGCACCAACTCCTTACATCAAGTCTCCCTCCCTCCCCGCTGCTGACTGTTTACTGGAGAGCCTTGACTGTCACGCCACGTCCTTCGTGAAGAGCACCCGTTAGCTGTTTTCAATAGGCAGGACTCTACCGGGTAACTTTACTGAAGTCTTGATTATCCAAAGTGCACTCAGTCAGGACCTCAGTTTCTGCACTTTGTCTGCTTTGGTAGCAAGCTTCCTGAAACACAGACCAGACTTCTGGTCCGCGTGCTCCAGGGGTAGCAATGGCACAGGGAAACCAAGATCTGGCGACGTGCTTGCGATTCTCACAGGTTTCGTTGGTGCTCCCACCCGGGGAGGAGCGCAGGCCCCCTCTCCCATCTCCTGAGCCACCGTGGGGCATCCCCCGACTCATCTGACAGGACAGACCGCTTAGAAATTCATCTCAAGCCTGCCCCGCCCTCCCTCTGACCCGGCGGTGTGTATCAGCGGCTGGAGGGGCCCGCGTGAGAAGAAGGTAGAAATGGAGAGAGACACCTTTGCTTCCAGGGTCCGAGGGCCCACACACCATGCCATCCGTGTTTGCAGCGTTTCGTGCCCACTGTTTGGACTGATTACGGGAGAGCGGTGAGAGAGGTGAGCACAGCTCACATCCCCGTGTCCGCTGTGGCCCAGGCTGTCCACCAGCTTTGTCGGCTCAGACCTCCGGCCCCTCGCAGGTGACACCCACTTTGGGGAGAGGGTTCCAGCCAGTCCTTGGGGGTCCTGGCTCTCCAGACACCGAGTCAGACAGCACCCCAGCCGTCACAGGAAGCCTGCACTGGGAAGGGTCTTCAGCCCTCCCAGTGATTTCAAGTTTCCTCTGCATCCTGGTGATGTGTCTGCTGTCACCATCACCACCATGTCCTCCTAGAAAGGGACCCGAGGTGCATGAGAAACCCCTGAACACGCCGGGCCTGCACTGCGTTCCATGGGCAGAAGTCAGAGGGAAGAACAGAGACGTGCGCGTCCCCGGGCTCATGTTCTTGGAGCTGGTGAGTGCATGTGGTGGTAATGCTTCCTGAATCAATGAATGAACCATGTCGGATGTATCAGTTGCCTTTAAATAGCTGGCAATGTGGTGGCTCAGTTGGTAAAGAATCCGCCTGCAATGCAGGAAGACCAGAGTTTCATCCCTGGATTGGGAAGATCCCCTGGAGAACAGAATGGCTACCCACTCCAGCATTCTTGTCTGGAGAATCCCATGGACAGAGGAGCCTGGTGGGCTACAGTCCATGGGGTTGCAAAGAGCCAGACATGACTGACTGAACAACAACAACAACAGCATATATGTACACACACACACACACACACACACGTACGCGTGTTTCTGCAGTCTAGCCAGAAGCAAACAGGAAATCAATAACCCAGCTTTTCTCGCTGGGTAACAGAGGCTCTGCGTCTGTAGCACACTGCTGAGAGACGTGTTAGTTCTCATGCCTCGAGATGCAGTAGCCTGTGTTGTCCCTTTAAGACACGGATTCTGGGAGAAGAGAGGAGAAACACGCCCTACTCCTTGTGTTCTCCACCGAGGACCGAACCGGCTCTCGGGGAGCGCCGTGGGGACCATCCCCGCCAGTCACTCTTCAGAAACCCCTCGCTGCTGATTGCGGCATCTTGACATAATACACACAGAAGTGTTTCCACTCCAGAATAATGGGATTTTGAAAGGGAACATCCTCTCCACTTAGCTGAATTTGGATGTAATGTAACATTTGATCACCAAAGGAGAAAGCAGGACAAGGGTGATTAACTGTATTATGAGAGTGGAGGAGAGGTTTAAGGAGAAGCCTTTGCAATTGTTTTTTTCTGTGCATTGAAATGTCAGGAGGGGAAGAAAGCTATGTGGGCCGACAGCTGGTTCAAGTTAAATCAATGCTGACTTGGAATATTAAATTTTCACTGCTCTGTGAAGAATGCAGGTTGTTCTCCGCGTTAGTCCATACAGGGTGATGGGGCTTTTGCTGAGCTGAGATCCTGCGAGCCTCTGAACAGCCGGCTCAGCCACCCACAAGGCCCGCACAGCCCGCAGTCCCGGGGCTTTGAGAAGAACGTAGTGACTGTTCGCCAGCATCACCGCTGTGCCAGAGACGGCTCTGTGCTCTCTGGATGGGACCAGGGGCTGTCCATCACAGACACGGGGTGTGGTGTGAGGTGACAGGGATGAGCCGGTGAGGAGGGGGGATCCCTGGGCACCTACGTAAAGTGCTGACCTTCACCCCGGGGTATGTGAAGGCCTGGGAGTAGGCTGAGGGGCTTAACAGAGTGGATGCTTAAGATCCCTTATCAATTACAAGCTAAATGGGATTTAATTTGAGGGGATCCTGGGTTCTGCAAGAGTTCGTCTATCCCTAAAAAGGAACAAGCTGATTCGTTTCCCTTATGCGACGATACCTAAATGAAGTTCACCTGCAAACCTGCTAAGTATTTTACAATTAGGGAAAAGTGAGAACCAGAGCTGAGAGGTTTAGAGAGAAGTTTCATTAGGACTCCCTCAAAGGACCAATGGAAATGAGAAGTTAAGCAAATCGCCCAAAGGGAAAGGCACAAAAATACAATAGCTCCCTCTTCATTTCAGATCACATTTGTTAATCCAAACAAATAGCTCAAACTAAACTTGGATCAGCTTATTGTGGCCGCATGAAATGTCTTGCTTCATCATTTGCATCTTTGGAGTTCTCCCCATGCAGGCCAAGTGGGGCGGAGGGGAATTTAGAGCTCCCGCCTCACCCTGCTTTCTCATCCAGAGGTGAGCCCAGCGGGCCAAGCGCTGGGTCAACACCCCCTCTCTGTGCCGTGAGTCTAGGAGTGAGCGTTTGTCCCCCACCCGCCACGCCCCGCATGGTGGGAGCTCTACGAGCCTTCACGGACATCATGGTGGCTGTAATTCAAGGTCGCAGGGAGCAGGCCTGCAGATCAAAGGCAGTTCCGCCGCAAGACCCTCCCCGATCTGCCTGGGAGGGTGGTCTCCTTAGTGTGGGGCTCCGGTGGAAAGGCTGTCAGCAGGTGACCCCAGACAGATTCCTGTTTCTCTTCACTCCTGGTATTGTACAGAGGAAGCTTAATATTTAAGTGAAAAAACGCACAGCGTATCTTGCAGTGTAATTCAGAAGCAGACGGATCACAGGCGGTGACTGGAAAAAGAGAGAGAAGCGGTGGAGGGAGCCGGCCTGGCCTGCGGGTGGCGTCCCCTGGGCGTGAGGGTGTTCTCTGGGGGAAGCACTCACACTGTGCTTGGTGGGGATGTAGATGATATCATGACATGGAAGGACTTCTTAGATTATAAAGATGTAATATCCAAAATCTAGTCTAGTTTTAGTGGCAACTATATAATGTGAGAGTTTCCACTGTGGCTCAGGGAGTAAAGAATCCGCCTGCAATGCGGGAGACCTGGGTTCAGTCCCTGGGTTGGGAAGATCCCCTGGAGAAGGGAAAGGCTGCCCACTCTAGTATTCGGGCCTGGAAAATTTCATGGACTGTATAAACCATGGGGTTGCAAAAAGTCGGACACGACTGAGTGACTTTCACTATATGATGTGAATTACATTGTACGAAGTTATATCCATAAATATTCACGTCTTTACAATGTCCTGTGTTTCCCACAGTACCTGCTTCAATATTCTTAGATCCTAAAAGCTTGTTCTGCAGGGGAATTTTGGAGCAAGTAGAGGGTGGAGGGGAAAGGGCACGTGTTCGTTGACAACCTCACAGCCTCAGCAAAGCCACGAAAGACCCTGAACGCCAGCCACTTCCCCAGAAAGAAAAGAAGTCGCGAGAAGCGAAGAACAACACTGGCTGGTAGACCGGGCCTGGGACTCTGAACCACACACAGACACGTCCGGTCAATGCCCGGCACGGAGCAAGTGTCTGACTAACGGCCACTCTTGTCATAGACTCTGCTCGGCCCGGTGATGGGAAGAGGACCAGGTGTCTGGGAGAGAATGAACATGTATAAAACATGTCACGCGTGGAAGCAGAGACCAGCCTGGTGGGAACAGTGAACGGGGGCTGGATGCAAAGATGCCCTTTGATCAGCTTTAATCATGGAAAGCTGCCCGCACCTGTGGGTAGTCCTGTCACCTCCTGTTCTGGGTCCTGAGTCCAGAGCGACCCAGAGCCCTGACTTTGTCCTTGACAGAGGCTCTCCGCCCGAGGCCCCAGGCCCTGTGGCAGCCTCCTCTGTCTAGGCTGGGATGTGAGTCAGGGCAGAGAGAGCCACACTGCAGGCCGGCAGGTCCTCTGACGCTCGTCAGAAAAGCACTTAATACCGATCAGAAATCTCATGCCAGCTCCATGTCCAAGGAAACTTCCAGGGTGCAAAACTGTCTGTAGAAAATGTAAAAGTCACAGCTTCACCTGGAGCATCTTCAGAAGCAAGGTGGAACAGGGGTCTCACGACTCTTTCCTCTGTATCCTTATCGCCATAACCCATTTTAGATGAAACCTAAAATGTCATTTGTTTTCCCTTGATAATTCTATTTACTTACAGCTAAACAAAGCAGAGCAAAATGGCCAGACTGTTTTCCTCATTATGCTTATTATTGCATGAGTGTAAAATCAAGTGAAATCCACTAGGAAACCTGTAAATGTGATACTGCTTAGAAAGTTCTCCCCAAAGTGCCTGACTTCAGAGACACAACTGGATACCTTGAGTTGCCCAACTTGTTTCTAAATAATTAGAATAAAATAATCCTTTATCTTCTTAAAGCCTGGGCATTGAACTTTTACACAGAAGTAGGATCTCTCACAGCCAACAGGACATAAAGGTTATAGGTAGGTAGACACTGAGGCTGGATTTTTGAGGCTGGAGGCTGAGAGGTTGGAGGCTGGGGTTTGGGGCCGGGTTTGGGGGCTTGGGGCTGGGAGGCTGGGGGCTGAAATCTGGAGGCTGAGATCTGGAGGCTGGAGGCCGCCCTATCGCTCCGGTAGATATGGATACAGCTGAGTCCACATCCTAAGTCCAAGGTCCTAAGCTCTTAACCTCCAGCTTGGAAAGGGGGACATTAGGCAGGAACCCATGGGAGGCCAGCCAGGGGAGCCGCTACATCCCGGGTGGGCAGGGGCATAAGCCAGGGCTTCATAAGTTTGGCAAGTGAAGCAGGGGGCGTCAGGGTGACGCTGAGCGAACGAGCTGACGGGACCCCTGCAGGGAACGTGGTCCGTCCGCTGGAGCCCCACTCCCCGCACCCCGTGAGGAGCCAAGTCGTGTGGAGCTGAGCCCCGGAGCGCCCAGCTGGACGCCGGGACTATGGGGCTGGGGCTGGGCAAGCCTGGTGCCAGGGGCAGGGCGCTGCAGGCCGTGCCAGCTGGGGGCTCTGGAAACAGCGACGGGGGCCGTCTGCTGGGGAAGTCTGCAGAGAGGGTGGCCACGACAGGCTCTTGAGAAGCGCAGAGGTTGGCTGGGCTCAGTCCACTGCCCGGGTGGGCGGCACTGCGTGGGGGGGCGGGAACCAGGCGGGGCTCGGTGGCCAGGACTCAGAGTGACCCCGGGGAGCTGCCGGAAGGCCCTCGGTGACCATCCACGGCGGTCGGGGGCTTGGAGGTCGCGGCCCTGACCCACTGGTCCCTGTGGGTGATGCCGAGAGCAGCGCCATCCGCGGTCTGAGATGTGGCTGCGGGCCTCTCCTCTGGGGGCCCCCTCTTCCCCAGGAGCTGAGCCTATACCACAGCCCAAACTCTCTCTCCAGGACACTTCGTAAATCATCACTGAAAAAAAAATAGAAATGACATGATCCATCAAGCTGCTGATCACAAACTAAGCATCCCAAACTTTCTATCTCCTGAGCATCAGGAGCATCCAGCTAAGATGGTGGAAGAGACCGCAGTTGGATTAGCAACACGGATGAAGGCAGGGAGGGGGGTCCCCCACCCAACGCCATCACTGACAGGCCTGTTCATCGGAAAGGAAGATTGCTAACCCACGACCACCACGGTTAATTAGAAGTTGCTTTTTTAAAATTCATCCAAAAATAAATAATGGTGAAATAACAGCACAACAGGAAAATGTGTTAATAAGTGCATGTTTTTGTCAGGGCTTCTCCAGCTCTGGAGTCTGGACCCTGGTGGCTCCTGAAACTTGCCGGGGACTCCAGAGAGCCGTGGTCTCTTCATCAGAACACTGAGGTGTGTGTTGTGTGCTGAACGGTGTCCCAGATTCAGATCTCGAGGCCTTGTCTGTGGCTCAGATCTCGAGGCCCTAAACCCTGGAGCCTTGTCTGTGGCCTGCTCCACAAACAGGACCACTGCAGATGTGAAGCCAGGAGGACGCCCCCGCGCGGCGTGAAGCGTGGAGGTGTTGGTCACTCGGGCGTCCGACCCTCTGTGCCCCCGGGGGCTGTAGCCCGCCAGGCTCCCCCGTCCATGGGATTCCCCAGGCAGGAGTACTGGAGTGGGGAGCCGTTTCCTTCTCCAGGGGATCTTCCCAACGTAGGGGCTGAAGCCGGGTCTCCTGCATTTCAGGTGGTTCTTTACCATTTGAGCCCCCAGGGAAGCTATAATCCAGTTGTCCTTCTAAAGCGGGACCTGTGGGTGCAGAAACATGCTGGGAGAAGGTGGGGAGCAGAGCCGGGGCGACCACGCTGAGGACGTCGGCGATCGCCAGCAGCCCCGGCAGCTAGAGGGGGCTCAGGGCAAGGCCCTACCAGCCCCGTGGGGCCACCTGCCCACCCCGCTCAGCTCGCGCCCCACTCCAGAGCGGAGGGGCTGCTGTTGAAGCCCTCATGCCAGGACCCACCGTGGGTGTGCACCTTCTCCCCACTTTCTAGAATATTCCAGGGCCAGAATAGGTCTGTGGGCTTTCAGAGATCCACTCAGCTTCCTTCTCCTCCTGCTAATGTGAACCCAGGACCCACAGAGCATTAATGGGGACCTCCTGTATCAGCCGTCAGGACAGCAGAGATGGAGCAGGAACATTCCAAGGGTTTCCTAGCTGCCCCAGACCTCGGTATTTCTCCTGGAACAGCTCTGAAAAATCAGTGGTCTCAGAGCTGGGGCCCTGGGTTCTTCCGTCCCGCACTTGCAGTGACTCCAGGCCGTGTGACTTGAGAAAGCCCTGGCAAAGCCCTGAAACCATCCCTGGCAAAGCCCTGAAACCATCGACCCCAACCCCGAGGCTGCATCTTTTTAGCATTTTCTTTGTCAGGATGGGACGTGTGTGAGCAACCCATTCACACAACTGAAGCTACTTAGCATTCATGCACATAACCAACTTTATTATTTTATTGCTGTTTTTAATGAAATATTTAAAATGTTTTAAAATATCATCAATATTAATCTTAATAGGTTAAATATCAATAGATACAATCCACTTATCAGTTCATTTTATTTCCCTGCCACTGAGTAATTCATCCCTGTTTTTGTTCAACTTTTAAAATGCACCAAAAAGATTGAAAAAAAAAATATTAGCTCTTACCCTGGGGCTAATATTTTCAATCCCAGGCTAAATACCATTCTGCATTTAAGCTAAGTGTACAAAATTAATATCAGAGGATGCATCCTGAGCCCAATGTCTGTCCAAGTGCATGCCATCTGGGCGGCAGACCCAGTGATGAGCTACGGTCACCTGAGGACAGTCAGCCCGAGGTGGGTGTCCGTCAGAGCCAGGCAGACCTCATGCCTGCTCACCTGTGCTCCGTGTTGCTGATGGGTGATAGCTTCCCAAAGTGAACTTCTATTTACACTAAGGTTTATTTTTAATTGCTCTATTTTATTTGTTTCATATCTGTTTGTTCTTACTGTGAAGAAATTATTCAGATCCTATGCTCCATTTCAATTTTTAATAAGTTAAATAAAGACTGACCACTGAGAAAAATCAAACACTTGATAGTGAGATTAACAAGTTCTTCTCCCCTGTCCCTCCCTGGGGACCACGATTAATCCCTGGAAAATAAACAAGCAAACAAATAGGATATTACAATCATTTTGTTTGTCTCTCCCCCACTTCCCTCTTGCTGTCTCTCTCTATTTCTCTCTCTGTCTCTCTCTGTCTCTCTATCTCTCCTTTGTCTCTCTGTCTCTTCATTTCTGTCTCTCTCTGTCTCCCTCTTTGTCTCTATGTCCCTCTGTCTCCCATTTGTCAGAGAGGACACTCATCTTCAGTGAGAATCCTCAGAGAACTTCCTCAGCTCTTGGAAACCCTGACGTGCACCCCTTCCCCTCCTTACGCTGTGGAAAGGCGGCTCTCAGGAGACCATCAGCTCTTTAGGTCGTGATTCCAACCCCCAAGGCTCGAGTTCATGGCCACCATCGGAAATGTTATTCCACATGGAGGAAGTCGTCATCCGGTATCTCAGTCAAGCTTTGCTTTTATCCTCATAATCCAGGGGAAAAAAGGAAATCCACACCCCCCTGTCAATCATAAAGCATTGAAGGTAAACTATTTCTTCGGGTCCAGGCCCTGTTTAATCATATGAAAAAACCAAGTCCACCCTGTAGAACATGTTTCACTCTCGGTAATCTGTCTTGAAATTAACACAGGTCTTTCTATCCCCTTGGCCAAAAACAAAACAAAGCAGTGCTTTTGAGCAGGGGGAGGGTTACAGTCTGATTCAGAATTGAGATGAGAAGCTGCCTCTGTTAGCACCTTCCTTTGTTGGTAAGTTTCTCAGTGACCTATCTTCCTGCGCCCATTTTCACATGTGACCGAAACGGCATTATCAACAGTGTTTTCAACAGCCACTTCTGTCAGTGATGCTAATTAAACCACACCGTCCTTCCCTGCAGGCCCTTCCCTTTGTTCTCTGGTAGACTGTTGAACAGGTTTTAGTGGATATCAGTCATGACTAACATGTGGGAAATTTTTAAAGAGATGGGGATACCAGACCCCCTTACCTGCCTCCCAAGAAATCTGTATGCAGGTCAAAAAGCAACAGTTAGAACCGGACATGGAACAGTGGATTGGTTCCAAATTGGGAAAGGAGTATATCAAGGCTGTATATTGTCACCCTGCTTATTTAACTTCTGTGCAGAGTACATCATGCGAAATGCCAGTCTAGATGAAGCACAAGCTGGAATCAAGATTGCTGAGAGAAATATCAATAACCCCAGATATGCAGATGACAGCACCCTTAAGGCAGAAAGTGAAGAGGAACTAAAGAGCCTCTTGATGAAAGTGAAAGAGGAGAGTGAAAAAGCTGGCTTAAAACTCAACATTCAGAAAACTAAGATCATGGCATCCGGTCTCATCACTTCATGGCAAATAGATGGACAAACAATGGAAACAGTGATAGACTTTATTTTCTTGGGCTCTAAAATCACTGCAGATGGTGACAGCAGCCATGAAATTAAAAGAAGCTTGCTCCTTGGAAGAAAAGTTATGAGCAATCTAGACAGCATATTAAAAAGCAGAGACATTACTTTGCCAACAAAGGTCTGTCTGGTCAAGGCTATGGTTTTTCCAGTTGTCATGTATGGATGTGAGAGCTGGACCATAAAGAAAGCTGAGTGCAGAAAAATTGATGCTTTTGAACTGTGGTATTAGAGGACTCTTGAGAGTCCCTTGGACTGCAAGAAGATCCAACCAGTCCATCCTAAAGGAGATCAGTCCTGAATGTTCATTGGAAGGACTGATGCTGAAGCTGAAGCTGAAGCTCCAATACTTTGGCACCTGATGTGAAGAACTGACTCCTTGGAAAAGTCCCTGAAGCTGGGAAAGATTGAAAACAGGAAGAGACTAGGACGACAAAGGATGAGCTGGTGGGATGGCATCATTGACTCGATAGACATGAGTCTGAACAAACTCCAGGAGTTGGAGATGGACAGGGAGGCCTGGTGTGCTACAGTCCATGGAGTCACAAAGAGTCAGACACGACTGAGCGAATGAACTGCACTGGACTGAGTAATGACTAGTAAGAACGCAGCCAGATTATTTTGAAAGTTGGCATTTACTCCAAACCCAGGTCCATTTTCTGTGGTTCCTGCAGAGCAGAGAGAACCCAGGGCCATCAGTGTGGACCCGGCCTTCTGCGGAGACCCCAGGCCCTCCACCTGGGGAGTGTAGGCTGCCATCACACACCCGCAGAGCCACCCACCCACAGGCCTGCCTAGAACGCTGACAACCGAGCGTTTCCTGAGCAGTGCCAAACAGTGCAATAAATTACAGCTCCTGCAATGAACCAGCTCCCCGTAAATGAGTGCCAGATGTTTTACAGGTGACCTGAGAGAATGCCACAATTCCCCGAATCCCATAAATAATAGGAAAGCTGTCAAGAAGAATAAGCAAATATAGATCATTTTAAAGTGTCTCAGCATTCCTGCTTTTTTTTAACTCTTTGTCAGCTAAAACGACCTGTTTTCTTTATATTAAAATAAAAACAACATTTCCTGAAATTTCTCTTATTAAGCAGACAATTCTGGTTGAATTTTTTTGTAGTCGAATGAATGTGGCTTTAGTCTGGGCATTAAGAATATACTAGGACTGCCCATGGTTAACACTGCTGAGGGGATGGAATGCAGTCCTAGGGGTGATGGGTCCCTGGGGCCCATCACCCATCAGGGAAGACCAGCCTCCTTGCTCCCTCCTGTTTCCTGGTCCCCCCCTGAGTCTGCATCTCTGGAGAACCCTGACTAATACCTGTCACTGGCCCCAGACGCCCCAGTCTGCTCTCTACACATGTGCTTTCTCTAGAAATTTCACGTAAATTATATCATATGACATATAGTCTTCCATGCCTGACTCCTTATATCCTGCATACTGTTGAAGCTTTTGTGATTCCCCCAGATTGTCAGATGCACTGGTGGTTTGTTCTTTCTTCATTAATAAGCAGTATTCATACCACCACAATTTGCTTATGCATTTGTCTCTTGGTGGATATTTGGGTTGTTCCTCGTTTTTGGCAGTTATGGACATCCAGGCACAAGTCTTATGTGGGTATATGTTTTGATTTATCTTGGGATGTATTTATAAGGCCTGATAGCTGGATCATAGGAAGTAGATATGCATCTTTCTAAGAAACTGCCAGACTCTTTTCCAAAATGTTTGTATTATCTTGCATTCCCACCAAGGTATAAACATCTCGTCTCTTTTCCAACCCTCAGTAATGCCAGACTTCTGGAACGATTGTAGTCATTCTAGTGGGTATGTGGTGTTATCTTATACTGTGGGTCTTTGTTTTCAAAGCATATTTTTGATGGGTATAGAATTCCTGACTGACGGAATTTTCCACATTAAGCTCTTGCTGCATTGTCTCCTGGCTTACGTAGCGTCTGTCAAGTCTGCTACCATCCCTAGCTTTGTGTCCCGGTGTGTGATAGGCTGCATTGGAGATGTTTTCTTTATGTTGGATTTCAGCAGTTTGATAGTGATATGTCTTTGTAGACATTTTTTATTTGTCTGTGTATATATGTTTGTGTTGTTTCTTTGTTTTAGGATTTACTGAGCTTCCTGGACCTATATATTTAGAGTTTTCATCAAATTTAGAAAAGTGACTCTTATGTTTTCAAACATTCTTGTCTGACTCCTCCTGAGATTCAGTTACATTAAATCTCTTGATATTATTTGACAGATTGTCATGTTCCCCCCCCCCCCATCATTCCTCTCTGTGCATCTTTTGGGATTTTCACTATTGCTATTTCTTTATATTCACCAATCCATTTTAGGAAAACATATGTCTGAACTCAGTTCTCTAGAGTTGGAGGAGAGAGAGAATTTCAGTGCTAAAGCTTGATCACTAAAGTCGTATTTTAACTGCAAGATGTGCAGGCCAAGCATGGCTCTTGGGTCAGCTGACCTTTTATGATTTTTTTTTTTTAAGTAAAGTTTTACCTGAGCATGGCCTGGCTCATCTGTGTGCTGTCTGCAGCTTCCTGTCAGCTGCAGTGACAGAGCTGAGTCCCTGCAGGAGAGACCACACAGCAGGCAAAACCTAAACTATTCACCAGCAGAAAAAGGTGCAAGAGTCATGGTCTGGGGAATTCCCAAGCAGACATCCTTCACTATACGGAGACACAGAGACTGCGGGCTTTGTCCCCTTTTTATCACAAGCAACACCATTCTTTCTCATTTAAGTGTAAACTTTATCTTTCAAAGAGCCTTGACAATACTTAATGCAATACTTAATGGAAAACATAAAAGTGCACGTGATGTGTTTCCTTCGCTGAATTTCAGTTGTGAGCAGCCATCACCTGGCTTGATTCTGGCCCCTGGGTCCTCTCTTAGAGAGGAGCTTTGAGTCTCCATGTGAATTGCAGCATTAAGTGTTAAAAGCCCTCAAATGCATGCAGCACCCCCAGCACTTGAAATTCAAGTGGCACTGCAGCCTCTTAGCTAAGGCTGTCACCTCTGCGAGTTTATAGCCGCTACAGGGAGTTCACGTGCCTGATTAGAGGATTAGAAGGCTCCCCGCACTGTTGTTAGAGGCACATGTGGCCGCCAGAGGCCTGGCCTCAGCAAGAGAAAGTGGAATCTGGATTCCAGGACTGGCATTGGCCCCGCCTGAGCTGATCTCAGAATTAGAAGCATCCAAACACCAATGTTAAGCTCATCAGAAAGAGGCTATTACTTTGGGGACTGCCATCCAGCTCGATGAATGCTCCCTGGCAAAGTCTTTGCGTTACAGGAACTGTGTTCTGCTAAAACCTCAAGCTAGAGCTGCAGGATGAGATGAAGGAGATAAGGACACGGGGGCCCATGGGCAGAGACAGGTATTTTCAACGAAAGACACACTTCCTCACACGCGCACGGGCACCCGTGCAGAGATGGACACCGCCAGGTCAGCATCATCCTGAGTGTGTCGGGGATCTAACCCCTCACTGATGTTTTTCTGACACGTGAAGTGCCAGGACAATGCTGTTTCATCAGCGATGGTAAGTACGGCTGGCGTTCTTTCCTGTCTCCACTTCAAGTAATTTACATGTGTCATATGAGCTTGTCTTCCCTGCTGTCCTGGGGGCTAAGCTTCATCATTCCTATTTATAGACATGGAAGCTAAAGCTGGCAGCGGCTCCCAGACCTGGCTTACGACTTCACGTGCTGCAAAGCGTCCTGTCCGATGGACCCACGCTGTTCTCTCGTGTGTGTTTCATGCAATGGGAGGGTCGGTTCAATGTGTAGGAAAGGTGATTTCTATAGAATTCCATATTACATCCGTCTGATGACTTTATGCTGCTGCTGCTGCTGCTGCTAAGTCGCTTCAGTCGTGTCCGACTCTGTGCGACCCCATAGACGGCAGCCCACCAGGCTCCCCCGTCCCCGGGATTCTCCAGGCAAGAACACTGGAGTGGGCTGCCATTTCCTTCTCCAATGCGTGAAAGTGAAAAGTGAAAGTGAAGTCACTTAGTCGTGTCCAACTCTTTGAGACTCCGTGGACTGCAGCCCACCAGGCTCCTCCATCCATGGGATTTTCCAGGCGAGAGGACTAGAGTGGGTTGCTGTCGCCTTCTCCGGACTTCATGCTACTGTCTCTCAAATATTCTGTTTTACATTCTGTAACTCAATTTTTAAAAATCCATCTTAAAACACAGACGTGGTCATAGCACGTGTGTCCCGGGGCTCTCACTCACAGCACAGACTCTGTTTCTTTAGGGGTGATGGATGCCGAGGGGGCACCGGACTTGCTCCCCTTCACATGGGGAGAGCAGGCTTTCTGCTGACCTGCCTGCCGGGGGTGCAGTCTTAACCGGGAGCATATGGGGTCAGCGAAGGCAGTCAGCACCCAGGACCAGTGAAGAGGCCCCTCGCCTCGTGGCCACAGCCAGCAGCCCACTCCTCAGGCTGAGCGAGGCTCTTGGATTATGAATGGCCAGCACTGGTCCCAGGAAATACCACGGGGATCCTGCAACCTTCGGAGAAAATGACCCACTGCCTTTTCAGACGTGTAAGGATGCAATTTCATGCATGACAGCTCAAGAAAGCACATTTAGTTTATTCATTTCTTCAAATTTAAACCAGACACCTGGCTCGAGTGAAATTTCCAATTGAGTTTCTTTCCCTCCAAGCCTCTGACGTTTGTAACTGTTCCCATTTAACCCAAACCACTCACTCACTCACCTTAGAAAAACCATATTTGGGTATTTTATGTGCTGCAGTTGGACATCAAAGAACAGTTTTTACTGCAGGGCTTTTACTAGCCAAGTCTGAACTCAGAACAGACCCCGTGCAGTGGCAAATGGATCTGGTGAGCAGTTATGCTTAGAAATAAAACAGGTGAGCTGCAATCCATCAGATGCTAAATTGAAATCTTCCCCCATTTGGAACATTTGGGAAGAAGCCCTGCGCGCCTCGTAAATGAAACGGATCTTCCCGCTCCTCTGCTTCCTTCAGCTGCTCCCGTCTGCTGTCTCAGAAGCGACCTCTCTCAGCGCAGCAGCATCAGGACCCCGGTGAGGCACCCGGGGGAGCTCGGGGTACAGACTCAGGGCCGCGTCGGACAGAAATGCATCTGTCCGAAGAGTGTCAACGTGGAGAAACAGAGCAAAAGAAAGCATCCTGTCTCTGACCCCTCCCCTCCACTGACCCTGCCCATCCCAGGCGGCCGGCTCTGTGGCCCTGTCTCCATCTCCGAGGAGGGAGCCCCGCTCGCTGCCCAGGGGCCCAGGAGCAGCGCCACCGAGACCAGGAAGGTGGTCTGGTTCCCACGGGGCATGGCCCTCGAGCCCATCCTGATTCTTCTAGGCTAACCCCCACAAACAGCTCTGGACGTGAAAAACCCTGCCTGCTCTGCTTTACGCAGAAGGCGTGCATGTTCTTTGGGATAATCTGGCAGAAGGTCTCACTTTACAGGTTCCCGATTCCCTCCTTCTTGCCCTGGAACACAGTGACAGTCAGAATAGTGTTCAGAGCCCCTCCTACCTACACGAAGGCAGGTTCGAACAGGAGCAACCGGGACAACATTGAAATAGATGCGAAAGCTTTGAGGGCGCGTCCCCGGAAGGTTCCAGCACGCATTCACTCCGAACTGCCCCGCATAACCGAGTGAGGAAGAGCGTCTCTGAGGCCGTGCGCTTCTCCAAACGCCCGCTGCCAGCCTCCATCCAGCAGCCCGCCCCGTCCCGGGCTGAGCGATACTGAGGGACCGTGGAGGGGCAGCCGGGCACCAGAGCAAGCAGGTCTTCCTGGGAACTTCTCATCTAAAGACTGCTGCCGAGTTAGCTGAGAGGCTGGAAACAGACTCCGTAAAATGAGTTCAAACCTGAGCACCAGAGGGGAAGGGGCTGAGCGGGAAGAGAGGTGATCGGGTCGCAGAGAGTCGGACACAATGGAGTGACTGGACTGAACTGCACGTGCTTTGAAAGGGGCAGCCTGCATCTGAGGTGCACGGATACCTTGATATGACAGTTGAACGTTTCTGAAGGTTTCCCACCTGTCAAAGTCCCTGGGGGTGTTTGTTACAAATGAAGAATCCCTGGGTCTGTTCAGAAGTCCCAAGCCAGGCAGGTTGAACAGTTGCCCAAGGTTCAGCACCAAGGTCGCCCATGCCCAGGTGGAACTGCGGGCTCCCTGAGATGCTGCCGTGTTGGCATCACCCCACGCCCACCCGACCTCCCAGGCCCCTGTCCCAGCCGTGAGCATGCCCTCTCTGCTCTGTTCCTTCCAGAATCTCTGATTCTGCTCTTAAGATAAAACTATCTTTCACTGAACCACTGTGTCAACCAAGACATAGGACCCCTCGTGAAGGATGCCTTGCTAAGGCAGCAGTTATTCAATCCAGAGTGGGGTTAATGGGTAGCAGCCATAGAGATGTGGGTCCTTTCACCCTGAAAAATGTTTTGCCAGATAAGCAGGAAAGGAAACCAGTTGCATGGATTCCTCTGAACAATACCAAACCTAGAATTGTATTTTGAAAATTAAAAACCAGCAGTTGAGACATTCAAATAAAAAGGTGAGTTTCCTGACATAAAAAGCAGCTGTTTCTGGGTGGGATCGAAGACACACAGCTGCAGGCGATGGCGCCAGATGTGGGCACATCAGAAATCCTGGGAACACACTAGGGCCAGAGGGTCCCATCCAGAGGTGGCCATCCCCACCCAGCAATCTCAGACAGACCGCAAGTGTTTATTCCCGGAGTTTCTCCCAGGGCAGCCTGGCTGGGAGTCGCTCCCTGGACACGGGGAGGCACCTGAGCTGGTTTGTCTGCCAAAGTCAGGAGAAATCAGTTCTCACAAGGAGCTTACTTTGTCAGTTTAAATAAAGCATAAGAAACAACAGTCACTTTCTCTCTGCCTCGTCTCGAACATCTTTGGTTGGTTTCCCAAGGTTCCGTCTTTGTCCTGTGACAAATCTGAACTTGGGATTTCAGAGTCGGGAGGTAACTAGAAATCCTTGAAACTTTCTTGATTAACAAGCAAAGCTTCCGGCGCCCTTCCCAGGAAGCCGCTGGTTTTCAAGCCCTGGGTGGTATACCAGATGCTGCCCGGGACCTGCCCCGAGGAGGGTGTGAGCTGAGTGGGGGATTCACCCAAAATCAAGCTCCTGGACAGCTTGTGGGGGGTCCTTGTAGAACCCAGAGATAGCACAGGCTGCCCGTGGGGCTCACAGACAGACCTCACCCCACATCTGTGCCCCAGGAGCTCAGCCGCACCAGCCCCGGGGACCCACTGCTGCTGCACATCACCCTGGCCGCCTCCCACCACGTCCAGGGGCTCTCTGCCCCTCGGAGCGGGCAGGACCTGTCCACCCACCTGCTGGCGGGGGCCCTCTCCCGCAGCAGTCTAGTCCACACGGACGTCTGAGCGCTGCAGTGGCTGAGACTTCTGTCCGAGCAGAGAATTCCGCCGCCTGGATGCAAGCTCTGTATCCGCCCCACACTGCCCTTCACACCTGCTGTCCTGGGGCATCCTCTCTGCAGCGGTCCAGTCCCAGCCCCCCGGTGGGCGTCCTGCCGGGGTGAGCAGCTGGACGGTCCATGAGAACGCTCCGGTGTCACTAGTCAACATCGAGTGCAAAGAGGCTCCATCTTTGTTGAGTGAAGCCTGTGCCAGGGACCACCTGGAGCCCAGCAAGTTAAGAGGAAGGATCATCCTCGGCTCCACCCCAGCAGGTCCCACGCTCTGCTTATTGTGGAAAGAGTGCAGCTAAAATCGCTTTCCTGGAAAGAAGAGAGCTATGTGTGCAGTTTGGGGGTAAAACCAGAACCTTCCTTTGTTAAAAGCAATCAGTAGGGGGCACTATTGACTCTTGCAGAAAACGCTCAAACAACTTTTTATGGCAGTGAAAAAAATTTCATTTAAGGAGTTCCTGAGATTGTAAATGAAAGTCTAATTAATACCAAGGTTTTCATTTCACTTCACACTGAACAGAGCAATCACTGGATTTCAAATCTCTTTTGAACTTGACACACGTGGACTTATGCCCATTCAAGTACACTGAAGAGATGCTGGGGGAGAAAGAAAAGAGGCCGGAAGGCAAGGAAATCCTGATCTGCACCCAACAAAGGTTCCCAGCCCGGAGCTGCGGGCGGGGGGTCCCAGGTGTGCTCAGTCCACGCCTGTCCGTTCAGGAATGATCTGCTCAGTGGAGACAGGAAGGACAGGAAAAGACACCAGGCTCGGGCTTTTACAATCTCAGCAAGTGTCTGCTTTGCTAAAAGGCATCCGAACATCTGGGCAGCATTCTTGCTGGATTAGTCTGGACAGCATCTTTCAAACACCCTGCAGGGCAGAGCCCTGCCCGGGAGCGGCCAGCCGGCTGCCAGGTGCCTGCCACGCCTGGCCCTGGGGCCGCGGGCGCGGGACAAGCACCCCTTTCGTGTTTGGATAAGCAGCCCCCACTCTTTTGACTGCGGCTCTGTCCTCCGGGGCCCGCAGCCTGTGTGCAGCCCAGGGGCCCACGCCTCCTTGACGAAGCGTCATGTCAGAGCTCTGGCGTCTGACCTTGATTCTGCTGGTCCCTCTGCATGGCCAGGGATCTCAAAGAGCTCTCCGAGAGTCTTGAATAAACTGCTTCCCGTCAGGCTGAGATTATGTAATGTAAACACACGGGCGCAGAACTTGCAGCAGCCCCAGGGCCTGAAGCCGGCAGAGAGCCGCGCCTGGGACACAGGGGACGCAGCTGAGCGAAGGGCGAAGGGCCTTCTCAGCTGAGTACATGGAAGGCGGCGCGGGCCCGGCGACGGGAAACCCACGTGCTGGCTCCAGGGGCGGCCCCACCCGCCCAGCTCCCAGCCAGCAGGTCGTGTCGTGGTGGGACCCCAGTGTGAAAACTTCTGACGTTAACAGGTACATGAAACGTGTGTTTTATGTAGACCACCTGACTTCGAAGGTGTGATTTCAACCAGACAAGACTCAGGTCACCAAAGTCAATCTTTGTATTGCCAATTTGCACCTTCCTGTTCAGGGGACTTGCTTTCAGAGAGTCTACTTTCCAAACAGAGTCATGCATGAAACACTTTAAAAAGACTGATACACTTTTTCATTTGCCATATCACTGCGGGGTTAAAGAATCTGCCTGTCATGCAGGAGATGCAGGTTCCATCTCTGGGTCAGGAAGATCCTCTGGAGGAAGAAATGACAACCTACTCTAGTATTCTTGCCTGGAGAATCCCACAGACAGAGGGGCCTGGTGGGCTACAGTCCACTGGGTCACAAAGAGTCAGATGCAACTGGGCAACTAGACATGCCTGAACACACAAGAGTTGTTTTTTTTTTAGTTTGACTTTCTCATATTTACTTATAACTGTTGAGAAATGATGGTCCTGTTTTGATGGACATTTGAAACTTGAGATCCTGGGAAATTGCTAGCAAGGCCTGCTCTATCTAGCCTCAGCATCCCAGTTTCCACATCATTTTGTCTTGGTGACACTGTAACAAGAAAATTCTGGCTGGCACAGAATCAGAAACACAGCTGCAAACAGTGATCTGCAAGGGACGCCTACAAATTCTGGGACGCTTCCAAATTCAACTAGACCTGGTGTTTTTATGAAGGATATTAGAAACGTTTGCTTCCAAGACAAATCAAGCAGCGAAAGGTAACCACTTTGGCTTTCCTTACCACAAAAACCAAAGTCAGCCAGAAGAACCCACACCCACGATAAGTACCAAACTCCCCATGCCCCGTGGTGTCCAGACTGGAGTCTTATGGTGGAAAGAGCAAGCACCGAGCTGAGACCAGGTGTGTTCCCTGGGAGGCAGTCAGTGGACAAGCACCAAAACCGGCCCTGGGGCCACTTCTGCTGACAAGACGAGCTCGGGGCGGGACCCGTCAGCGGGACGGGGCAGAGCGCGCCTTCTTACAGGAAGACACGGGCACAGATACTAGAGACTCACACTGCAAGCAAAGCTGAGGTTCCTGCTCAGAAGAACACAGGATTCCGGCGCTGGCAGACAGATGGCAGGTAGACAGGTGGGCCGACAGATCACAGGGGTCTGAGAAAGAGAAAGGAAGAGAAGACAATGGTTTGCAGAGGGAGTCTGGTTCCTCAATAGGCGCACTGCCGTTGGTTAGCGTGACCCTGGTTTTCAAGATCAGACCGTAGGAAGGACTTTGAATCACGGTGATCCTGAAGAAGTGACAAGACTCTTGATGCTTGAGTACATTTGATTCGTGACACAGATTTGCAGTGCAAAGAAAATAGAGTGGGCTCACCACTTTCCTTTTGAAAGTTTTATTGAAATGCAGTTGATATACAGCGTTGTGTTAGCTTCAGGTATACAGCAAGGTGATTCGGCAGTACACGCGTGTGTATATGTGTGTGTGTATATACACATACGTTCTGCTTCAGGGTTTTTCCATTATGAGTTATTACAGGACAGTGAGTGCGGCCCCCTGTGCCGTGTTTATCCGCTGTACATACAGTAGTGTGCACGTGTTACTCCCAGCCTCCTGATTTATTCCGCCCCCCCCACCTCCCGCTTTGGAAATCACTCTGCAAGTCTATTTCTGTTTTGTAAGTTTAACCACTTTCATTTGTGTTAGCAGGCAGCCGTGTGAAGCAATGAGTCCACGGGCTTCTTTAGTCTCACAGGACAAGGCCACCAGCAGGGCCCCCTCCCCTAGGAAGCCCGAGGAATCGAGGGCCACCCCTGCCGACACGGACCCTGGTGGACAGAGTCCTGAGACATCACCCAGGAGACAGTGGTTCTGGTTAGGGTTGGATTTCAGCCCAACTCTGGAAAGCTTGGCACGCAGTTGAAAAGCACTGGTAAGTGACCCGTCTGATTGGAGAAGCCCCCGGCTGTTCCTCGGGGCCGCGGTCCTCTGAAATTCACATCTGGGTCCCCCAGCCATGAGTATGGCTTTTCTGCTGGGGTGAGCTCCTGACTCTTCTCACCTAATTCAGAGGGAACTCAGAAAGATGTGGAGCTGGAGCTGACATCTGTGGGAGATGATCAGCGGTCTCCACAGGGACCAGGGATCTCCATGGTGACCAGGTGCTAGAAACTTCTACGTGTTTTCAAGGCCCTATTCATGCATCATTTGATAGCTGGCTTTGCCCTAGGCTGGGGCAAATGTTGCCACTCAGACTGCAGTTCTGGATTCATCTCAGCTGCAAAGAGCATAGCTGGGAAAGCTAAGAGAGACTTCCTTACATACACCCAGCCCCGCCGCCAGCACCAGCTCCAGCACACAGCATGTGTAAGAAAGAATGACGCGCAGTCTTGGAGGCTCCCCATCCGCAGCTGCTTCTGCACGAGGGTGATTAATGGGCAGGTTCCAGCACCACCCCTCCCCACTGCCTCCACCCCGATTCTCAAAGCTCCTCCTAGAATGCGCCCTTTGCACACCAGCTCCATCCTTCTTCCTTCTTGGTGATTCTGCAGTGGACTGAATATCTTCCTCCCAAATCCATATGTTGAAACTGTGATCCCCGGAGTGGTGGTGTTAGGGGTGATGAGGTCATAGGGGTGGAGCCCTGATGAAGGACATAAGTGCCCTTATAAAGGGGCCTCCAAGAGACCTCTCACTCCATCTGCCGTGGGAGGACCCAGTGAGAAAGAGCCTGGCAGAGGCCCCACCAGAACCCACCAGGCGGGCATCCAGCCTCCAGACCATGAAGAGTGAACGACCACTGTCCGTGAGCCGTCCTGTCTGCGCTTTTGTGTTGTTGCTGTTGTAGCCACCCCCACAGACCAAGACCCGTTCCTAGTTCAGTTTCCAAGTGGAGGAAATCATGGCCCCGTTCTCCGCCCTCTGCATGCTGCGGCTTTGGGAGCTGACCTGCCTCCAGCTTCCAGGCAGGGAGAACCCCGGGGCCAAGTCCTGAGGTGGGAAGGGAGACAGACAGCAGGGCCCCTTAGAGGGAGGACAGCCACCGCGGTCACGGCCAGCACCTTCCCAACAGCCGAGACCGCGGGACGAAAGGAAACATCCGTGCAAAGTAGCGAAACAGCCACAGAAGCCCCGGAGCCGGCTCCGGGCTCTCTCAAGAGTGCTGTTTCCATCGGTGCCACGTTACAGATTGCCCTGAAGGACAGCTCTCTGTGAGCCATGACGTCTAACTGCCCCTTTCTGCTCCTGTCTGTGACTCCCAAGCACAGTCTGAGGGCTCCTCCTGGGCCAGGCATGTGTGAGCTGTCAGCTCCCCAAAAGCCAGACTCTGGGAACCCGCTGTGAACAGTTTCGCTCCAGCAAACCAGGGCCTGGCGCGACTCTGGGGACACTCTGATCTGCGGTTGGGTCTGGAAGGTTTGATGGAGAGCCAGATGTGGGGGCGCAGGGTCTGCGTCCACGACGACAGCTGACTCTCCTCCCGCCCCCATTTCCGTCTCACCTGTGCTTCGTTCTGGTTTTCGGC